TTGACAATTTCTTGCTATTGCGCAATATTGTGCTATTGGATATTTCTTGCTATTGCGCAATACTGTGCAATTGAAGATTTCTTGCTATTGCGCAATACTGTGCAATTGAAGATTTCTTGCTATTGTGCAATACTGTGCAATTGAAAATTTCTTGCTATTGCACAATACTTATTATATAATAATTTACACATCCTGTTTGGTGTGTATCTCCTACCATATCATTATTATTTGCTTTTAAATATAAATCAGAAATAACCAACTTAAAATGGAAAATTTTAAAAGAAAAAAAAAGGAAAAAAAGAAAAAAAAAAAAAAAAAAAAATCCCCCCCCCAAATTTTTTGAACCCCCTTATGATTCATCACCCCCAAACTCAATCCCAGCCTTCCCTTTGTGGTATTGTACCTTGCAGTACAATTTCAGAGAGATCCATACACTTGAACACAAGTTATTGTCTGGAAACTAGAAAAATGCTTATTTTTGGCCCCTTTTTGGCCCCCAATTCCTAAACGTTTCGGGCAATTACCCCCAAACTCAATTCCAGCTTTCCCTTTGTGATATGGAACCTTGTAGTACAATTTCAGAAATATCCAAACACTTACACACAAGTTATTGTCATGAAACTAGAAAAATGCTTGTTTTTTGCCCCTTTTTTGGCCCCTAATTCCTAAAATTTTGAGGCAATTACCCCCAAAATCAATTACAGCCTTCCCTTTGTGATATGGAACCTTGTGGTACAATGTCAGAGAGATCCATACACTTACACACAAGTTATTGTCTGAAAGTTACAAAAATGCTTATTTTTGGCCCCTTTTTGGCCCCTAATTCCTTAACTGTTGGTACCATAACCCCCAAAATCAATCCCAACCTTCCTTTCGTGGTATTGAACCTTATGGTGAAATTTCATGGAGATCCATTCACTTAAACTAAAGTTAGAGTGCGAAAACCAATGTGTCTTCGGACGACGCCAGACGACGCCGGACGACGACGACGACGACGACGACGACGACGACGACGACGACGACGACGACGCCAACGTCATACCAATATACGACCAAAAAATTTTTAATTTTTGCGGTCGTATAAAAACAATAGACATAAAGCAACGATATAAGAGTACTCACAGTTACTAGAAGCAAGTTCTTTTCATGATGACAAGATTGGTTTACAAGAGAACAAAGATTTATTTACACCATACAAAAACAATACAAATACAAATATAAACAAAACAGAAGATATAGATTCAAAACAAAGTGTGTTATATGGAGCAGAAAAAAATGAAACTGTGTTTGACTGACTGTTGTTTGACTAATTACCTCCAGCCAGTGGCGAATATTTCATGCATATTTAAGACGAGCATACATTTATAATAAACCCAATAAGTAAGTTAAATAATTGACTGACCGGAATGAATGACAGAAATTTCGACTGCCGCTAGAAATAAGGGTATGCCGGATAGAGACAAATTATGTTACTTTGAATCTTTTAGGAACACAGGAAATAGAAGAAGATAATCATTTGTGTGCTGTTAGCGAAAACCTTTTCAACAATAAAGTGTTTTATCAAAATCAGTTTATACATACTAGTAGCTGAATGAATGAAAGTTAGAGTTCCATCAAACGTGGTTGTAGTACCAGTGGAAAGGTCATGTGATTTAATACCACACGATGCAACACTAAAAAATAACTGTTGAGTTCAGTGCAGGTGGGAATTGTACATAATTCGGTAGAATTAATTTTAAATGGTTAAAACTCTTAAAATGCATGCTGTTTAATTCATTGATTCCTGAATAAACTGTTCTGTTTCCATTACTTTCAGTTGCTCAGTATTTGTGAACAATGTTTTTTCAATTCTTCCAGGCATTTTGTAAATGACACATCTTGAATTAAATCTAGAAATTGACCATTAAGATTGGTTGAGAACAAAACTTTACGACAAAAGTGATTTCAGCTTCCCAATTGTGAACTTTCCATTTCTATGTAGCAACATTCCATCAACGCCTGTATATGGAACACATATATTCTAGTTGTTATATATTCTAGAGCTTGTGTTTCATATCATGATTTCCTTGATAGGGTTTGCTGCTTACAAGGAAGCTACTGAACCAAAGGTTCCAAGTGGTATCCGTGTCACAGATGACCACTCTTTTCCTCGATTGTGACATCACTGAACGATATTTATAACTGTAGGCGAATTTGTAATTACCATGAACACGACAGATGCCACTATAGAAGGATCTTCTTACCCTTTCGCAGCACTTGATATCACCCCAAGATTTTGTGGAATTTGTGTTGCTCAGTCTTTAGTTTTCTATATAATATATAGGGTTTTGTAGATTACTTTGTCTTTTCATTGTCTTTGGATTTTGTCTCACCAAACATAAATGCGAGCCATATGGATTAAAATCTGGCGACGACGTAAACTATTGTTTTATTTTTCAGAAGGTAAAATACCTGGATGCTTCATACTTGTATGCAGATGCCTTATGTTACGAAGTTTCCGTCCGTCATATGTCCATTGTCCTCATTTTCATGGTTCAGCGACTGCTTGAAAAAAATGTTTTTTTTCGTCATGTGAAATACTCACTTATTATAAGTAATAGGATAACTATATTTAGTATATTGGTTCCTTGCAAGATCTACATGTTGATCAGACAGGGTTCACCTTACTTCGACCTCACTTCATGGATCAGTAAGCTAAATATCAACTATATTTGGTGTGTGGAATGATTGTAAGGTGAACATGTCCGACTGGCAGGTTTAATTTGACCTTGACTTCATTTGCATTGTTCATTGGTCAGTGCCAAGTTTTTGTTGTTTGGTCCGTTTCTAAGAGGTCAACTATATTTGGTGTATGGAATGATTGTAAGGTGTACATGTACGACTGGCAAGTTTCACCTGGACTTTACCTTAAATTTCATGGTTCATTGGTAAATGTTAAGTGTTTGTGGTTTGGTCTGTTTCTCAGATACTATAACCAAAAGATTTACTATATTTGGTGTGTGGAATAATTGTAAGATGTGCATGTCCAACTGGCAGATTTCACCCGACCTTGACCTCATTTTCATGGTTCATTGGCCAATGTTAAGTTTTTGTGGTTTGGTCTATTATTTGATACTATAAGCAACAGGTCAACCATATTTGGTGTATGGAATAATTCAAAAGTTTTTATGTTGTCTGGCAGGATTCATCTGACCTTGACCTCATTTTTATAGTTCGTTGGTCATTGTTCAATTTTTGTAATTAGGTCTGTTTTTCATATACTATATTCAATAGACTAGCTATATTTGGTGTATGGTATACAATTTAATCATGATAAGTAAAGCAGGCAAGATATTTCACTGTGTGCACTCTCGTTTGGTAGGATATAATCAGTTCCTCTTCGACTTGTGAGTTTTGAATCTCCCCTTGGTATCTTCTGCCTGTTTTTTTTCCCACTCAAAATTGTTTCCTGTGTACATTTAAGGTAGATAGGGTGTCTTCCTCCATCTTGGATTTTGAAATACCAGAAAACAATCGGTCTAGATCTTAAATAAAAGGTGCAAATTTTGAGAGTAGTAGGTAATTCATGTGTAAGAATTTTCATTTCAATATAGAAAATAACATATTTTATCATATTTATGGTTGTATTTTACAAAAAACAGAATACTTTTGTTTGATTCTATTTTTTCCAACTTTGCCACATAAGGGGAGGCAACTCAAATGTAAGGGCAGATAATTCAGATAAAGGTACTTTTACAATAGAATGTTAGGAATTTACCTATTTTATCATGTAGCAAGAAAACGGGTCCCGTGACCCTATTTTTTCTTTTTCTTATCTGAAAGCATACTATTAGAGCTATCTTCTCATATTTTATCTCAAAATTCTATGGTGTAGTTTTCGTTTTATGGCAGAAAATTGGGTTTTCCATGCATAATCTATACAAAATCTTTCAATTTTGCACAACCTGTAGCGTGAAAATAAGCCCTGTGACCCATTCTTTTTATTATTTTTTTTTAAAAAGCATGATATAAACTACATTTTGGCGAATTATTAAAAAATTCTATGGATTATAATTTAGACACCCCATCTACCTTAACTGAAATATTAACAGATACTAAACAGATGTTATTTAAATCAGCTTCCTGATTTTTTAATAAATATGCCCCTCAAGGAGCAGGAACAACCAACCCTTCTAGAACAAAACAAATAACATCCTAGATTTAAGGGTTCTTTTTGCTAAGCCTTAAGGTTTCTGTTGGTGTTTTTATGGACTGTTGTTTGACTTTTTTCTTTAGAGCATGATGAGGTCTGTAATTATCTTACTTATGATTGAGATAACCCTCTTGGTTTCTTCTGACATGTTTGTATTTCTTTGATTTTCTCATAATGATATGATATTTCCTATTTATCACATTGGGTGAAATGAAATTCCATGATTTCTAAGTAAAATAGAAACATAAATTTCACATGTGAAATAATTCTGATGCCTACAATTCTTTGATGCCATACAACAATGGAAGTTGTCTTGATGTTGTCGTTGACGTTGCATTATAATGAATTGAGAATGCAAAGAAAAAGATCCTTGTTTTTCGACTTATTTCCATTGAAAAATCAATGTAAAAAAACAAAATAACTAATCAAAGAATTCAGACATTAAAAAATATTCAACTTGTGACCTATCAAAACTGACATTAAAAACATGCAATATGCGCAGCATTCATGAATAAATGTGTTGTTTGGTCACTTGTTGAATATTTTCTATATCTGAATTCTTTGATTAGTTATTTTGTTTTTTTTTACATTGATTTGTCAATGGAAATAAGTCGAAAAACAAGGATCTTTTTCTTTGCATTCTCAATTCATTATGATGCAACGTCAACGACAACATCAAGACAACTTCCATTGTTGTATGACATCAAAGCTTAGCTATATGAATTTTTTTTTTTTTTTTTTGGTAACTTATCTCAACCGGTCTTAATAGTCTAAAAGTTAAACTAGGTAAACATTAAAGAATTAAACATTTTTTGAAAAAAACCCACTTTATTTTATTGGTCATCTTCTTACTATTGTATTATTATTCCTGAGTGAAAAATTAGTTTGGATTTGACGATTTTTCATTTCATCTTTAAATACTAAAAATCCAAGCTGTGAATGAGATGCTTCAGATAATGCTTTTGATCTAATACACCCCTCATAATGTTCCGTAGGTAGTTTTGGGTCACAATACTTTTCATGCCACAAGTGGAAAATGCCTGGATCAGTGGCTCGCATTACCATATAGTGGCTACGGACATATTTTTTATACAAGGCAACATCTTCACCACCCCATCCATTAAAAGTTTCATCAAATCCTTTGGTCATGAGAAAATCAGATCTATACTGGCAAGTCATTCCATAGCCAAAGTCTCTCCAAAATCCACTTTGTTTTGAAATAACGAGTTGGTCTTTTTCTTGAGGAATAGGATATCCTTGCAATGTGTAAACTACTTTAGGATTATACAGACTGAACACAATGGGGTAATAAACTTTTTTTGTTCTTTCTGTGTTGAGACGGCACCGTTCTAAAAATTCAAGTGAGAAAACAATGTCAACATCACAAAGGAATAATATTACATCCCCATTCTTCCAATTCTGAACTCCAACTTGCAATCCACGGCCTCGGGAGAAATCTTCATTTAAATTTACCAGTCGCAAATGTTTATATCCTGTGTTTTTTGCTGTTGCAGACATAATATTTTTAGCTCCCATTAAACCATCATTCCCAAAATATACAACAGTTAAGAAAACTCTTTTATCTTTTGCAATAACTGTTTCTTCAAACCTTGTCATGAATTGCAGAAAAGAATCTAGGCGATTTTTAAGCGGCAAAATTAAATTTATCCATTCCTGTCCAGTATTAACTTGAGTTGTGGAAACAGAAAACAGTGGTCCAAATGGTCTCATTATAACAACTTTCGTATATCTACTTTTATCGGTCAAAAAGTCTAAATTTCGGAAAAATAATTCATAATGAGTCCCTGAGGTCGAATGTGTCCTATAAATACCCTCGACAAAATCACTAAAACTAAATTGTCTAGACTCCATTGGTCTCTGTTTGTTCAAAATATTAATAGCAAACGTTAAGACTTCATGTAAATCCCTCCGTTTTAGACCTATGGGTTTTTCAACGACCCTTTTCCCTAATCCAGGGTCAACAAGATAAATACGGTTTATAGTAAATCTATTAAATGCTGTTATTTCATATTCTGATTTCATTTCAACGCCATGTAAAATCTCAGCTGCTTTTAATTTTTCTTCAAAATACTGTTGCATTTCACCTGATACATTAACCTGGTTAAAGGTCACATCGCTAACACCTTCAATTATTATTTCGGACGGACTAGGTTTCGGACTTGAGACATTTTGCATTTTCATAGTTTGGTCCCTGATAGATTTTTCCAATGCGGTTATTTTTTCTTGAAGTTCATCGATTTTATTTTGGTACTTTTTTTCAGTTTCTTCTATAACATCACTAAATAATTCCCTAGATTTAATATGATCATGGTCAGGTATTGGCAAACCTGTTTGACTAGATTCTAGGTCAATATGTAAGCCACACTTTGCAACAAATAACATGGTCAGTGCTGATAGCAAAAACAACAAAAGAAGAAATCTTGGCATTAACTTCATCTCACAAGCTGTAGGTGTTTAACTTGTCCTATTATCTTCCCTATCATCTTGTATATACCATCAAAAAGCCTGAAATAAAAGGAAAAATAGATGAATAATTTAAACATCCTTCAACAAATGTTTTCATGCATATATTGACATGTACAAAGCAATTCTTAGCACTCAAAATAACTTGTTTTGCCTTTATTTTTGAATTGAGTCACACAAAAGGTCAACCTGACATATGAAAATTTAAGACAAGGGTTTTACCATCAAAGGACTAACATATAACAACAACATTTCCAGCTTCTTGAAGATAGTATTGTCATAATAAGTTGAAAATCATCATTATACAGTATTACAGTTATGCTCAAGTTTAAAAAATCAGCTTCAGATATGCAGACATTACAAAAAACAACAAGCATTCTGAGAGTATTGCATGGCAATACATAGTTCCCTACCGGTTAAAAATTCATTTTACTGGTACAATACGCTTACTTAATCTATAATTTGTCATGGTGTAAACTATATAAGAAATATCAAGTCAATATCTTCAAGCATGACGAAAAAAAGTGTGGAAAACTAATTATTTAAGTAAATTATCAAAATCCAAGGACCATAACTCTGCACAAAATCATCAGACCGGAACAAAATTCGAACTTGATCTATAACTTGTCATGATAAAACTATATACCAATTAAAAAATCAATATCTTCAAGAATGACGAAAAAAAGTGTGGAAAACTGATTATTTGAGTGAATTTTCTAAGTCCAAGGACCAAACTCTGCACAAAATCATCAGACCATAACAAAATTCGAACTTGATCTATAACTTGTCATGATAAAACTATATACCAATTATAAAATCAATATCCTCAAGCATGACAAAAAAAAGTGCGGAAAACTGATTATTTGAGTGAATTTTCTAAGTCCAAGGACCATAACTTTGCACAAAATCATCAGACAATATACCAAATATCAAATCAATATCTTCAAGCACGAAGAAAAAAAGTGTGGAAAGCTGATTTGCCGGACTGACGGATGGACAGACAGACAGAGTGCAAACCTATTAAGTCCCCTTCGACTTCGACTTTCGTTTACAAAAAAGCAGAATTTGGGAAATGAGCACCACCATGTCACCTACCCCCGCCCTCCTTATGAAAGAAAAGAAGGTAAGTCTACTGCAATGAAACTCCAGTAAGGTAAACACAATTTAATTTCAAAAGTGAAAACATTACTTTTCCCAAATAAATGTAAATAAATAAAACAACATGAACAGAAATAAGAAAAAAGAAATAAAACTACGCATTAAAAAATCAAAGTAATACAACATACATTTCTAATGCATTAAAATTAAGGTAATGTTCATCTTAATAGTAAATATAACAATCCTTACCCATTTAAAATCTTTAGATATAATTCCACAAGTGAGTCATAAAATATATAGTTAATTTGAGTGTACTGTTTTTTAATAACACATTTCGGGTTGGTTCAGCATATGTTTCAATTACAATCTCAAGAGATTTGCAATATTAGCAAATCAATTTGCCATTCAAAACAAATTCGGCTTTTCACCGACTGTGTTTTATAGATAGATGATAAAGTCATGATTACTTTTAAAAACAAAGCTACACACTGCACTTTAAAGTTGTGCAATGATCTAAATCTATGACATAATACACATAAGACTTGACTTGGTGTTTTCGACTTAACAACAAAGCTTTCCATGTCTTCAAAAGCTGTGGTTGTTTATCTTACATCATCAGGATGTTTATACAGGAAGAGAAAACCTGCTCTATCTCTTATAAGCCTGTTATATTCTTTGATGAGTTTTTTTTTCTCTAAATCTTCAAAACTTTATTATTTTTATACTGACAGAGATTTGTTAATCGGCGATGAAACATTTGGCATCTGATAATATATCCGAGGAAACCTGTTGAACTTAGTATAATCTGCACCCCGAAATTCTTGTCTGAAAATATTGCCCAGGACATCAAAAATTTCTTCAAGTTAAAAAAAAAGAATTTATTTCTGTATAATGTATCTACCGGTAAAAAGGAACACTAAAAGACTTTCGACCCCAGGAAGAGATTACCTTAGCTCAGCCTATTTGGCAAAACCTTTTGGGATTTTGGGATCTCAATGCTTTTATTTGACCTTGTTACTTTTATGATTTGAGCATCAATGATAAGTCTTTTAAAGATAAAACACGTGTCTGGCGTACATAATCATAAGCCTGGTATCTTTGATGATATGCCCCTTTCTAGATTTGTTGTCTATAAAACCACATAAAACTAAATGGTACTTTCAAACAGGGTGTTGACAGTAAAGTTGTTTGGATTGTACCAGATGAGACTTGATAAAACTTATTGAACTAATATAATACAGCTAATTCAACATTTCATATCAGCAAATTAATCTAATGGCAACATACACATCAAGTGCATACTGAAAATTAAGTTCTTGATTTTTTTCTCATTTGGGATCCTCCCATCGATATCAATTGAGATTTGATGAACAGTACTTGATAATTACTAAGAACTTAAGTGTAACTGCTCACATAGGTACATTATTGCCTTTTATCAATATAACCTGTTTTGGGGTACTTAAAACTGAAAAACTGAAAATTGTATTCTCAAATTTTCTGTTAAACAAAAATACTCAAAACTAGCAACTAAAACAATAGAACATTTAAATATTTCAGCCACTAATTTATTAAAAATTTATTGAAAACCCTGTATGCTTATATATCCAGCTCAATATATCTCCTAGATTCTTAATCCTACTCATGGATTACTCAAGTTGTGAACACTTTCTCAATGTTAAATAAATCAACTACAACTGAAGATTTGGATTTTAATTGATAGTTTACAAGGTCAATGGAATCAGTTTACAAGGTCAATGAAATCAATGTACAAAACCATTAGAATAAGTTTAAAAAACAAATGAATCAGTTAACAAAACCAAATGAATTAGTTTACAAAACCAATAGAATATCTAAAAAAAACCCAAATGAATCAGTCTTAACAACCAATAGAATCATTTTTCAAAACTGAAATGAGTCAGTTTACCAAAACCAATCAAATACCTTAACAAAACCAAATGAATCAGTTTACAAAACCAAATGAATCAGTTTATACAACTAAATGAATCAGTTAATAAAACCAATGGAGTCAGTTAACAAAACCAAAAGGAATTAGTTTACAAAACCAATGGAATCAGTTAACGAAGCCCAATGGAATCAGTTTACAAAACCAAATGAATCAGTTTACAAAACCAAAATGAATTTGTTTACAAAACCAAATGAATCAATTTACATAACCAAATGAATCAGTTTACAAAACCAAATGAATCAGTTTACCAAAACCAATAGAATCAGTTCATAAAACCAATGGAATCAGTTTACCTGACCAATAGAATTACAAGGTCAATGTTATCAGTTTACATGGTCAATGTAATCAGTTTACATGGTCAATGTAATCAGTTTACAAGGTCAATGTTATCAGTTTACAAGACCAATGGAATCAGTTTACAAAACCAATGGAATCAGTTTACAAGACCAATGGAATCAGTTTACAAGGTCAATGTAATCAGTTTACAAGACCAATGGAATCAGTTTACAAGACCAATGGAATCAGTTTACAAGGTCAATGTAATCAGTTTACAAGACCAATGGAATCAGTTTACAAGACCAATGGAATCAGTTTACAAGGTCAATGGAATCAGTTTACAAGACCAATGGAATCAGTTTACAAGGTCAATGGAATCAGTTTACAAGACCAATGGAATCAGTTTACAAGACCAATGGAATCAGTTTACAAGGTCAATGGAATCAGTTTACAAGACCAACGGAATATGTTTACAAGACCAATGGAATCAGTTTACAAGGCCAAAGTAATCAGTTTACAAAACCAAATGAATCAGTTTACAAAACCAAAATGAATTTGTTTACAAAACCAAATGAATCAATTTACATAACCAAATGAATCAGTTTACAAAACCAAATGAATCAGTTTACCAAAACCAATAGAATCAGTTCATAAAACCAATGGAATCAGTTTACCTGACCAATAGAATTACAAGGTCAATGTTATCAGTTTACATGGTCAATGTAATCAGTTTACATGGTCAATGTAATCAGTTTACAAGACCAATGGAATCAGTTTACAAAACCAATGGAATCAGTTTACAAGACCAATGGAATCAGTTTACAAGGTCAATGTAATCAGTTTACAAGACCAATGGAATCAGTTTACAAGACCAATGGAATCAGTTTACAAGGTCAATGTAATCAGTTTACAAGACCATTGGGATCAGTTTACAAGACCAATGGAATCAGTTTACAAGGTCAATGGAATCAGTTTACAAGACCAATGGAATCAGTTTACAAGGTCAATGGAATCAGTTTACAAGACCAATGGAATCAGTTTACAAGACCAATGGAATCAGTTTACAAGGTCAATGGAATCAGTTTACAAGACCAATGGAATCAGTTTACAAGACCAATGGAATCAGTTTACAAGGCCAATGTAATCAGTTTACAAGACCAATGGAATCAGTTTACAAGGTCAATGTAATCATTTTACAAGACCAATGGAATCAGTTTACAAAACCAATGGAATCAGTTTACAAGCCCAATGTAATCAGTTTACAAGGTCAATGTTATCAGTTTACAAGACCAATGGAATCAGTTTACAAGACCAATGGAATCAGTTTACAAGACCAATGGAATCAGTTTACAAGACTAATGGAATCAGTTTACAAGACCAATCGAATCAGTTTACAAGGTCAATGTTATCAGTTTACAAAACCAATGGAATCAGTTTACAAGACCAATGGAATCAGTTTACAAGACCAATGGAATCAGTTTACAAGGTAAATGTTATCAGTTTACAAGACCAATGGAATCAGTTTACAAGGTCAATGTTATCAGTTTACAAGGGCAATGTAATCAGTTTACAAGGTCAATGGAATCAGTTTACAAGACAAATGGAATAAGTTTACAAGACCAATGGAATCAGTTTACAAGGTCAATGTAATCAGTTTACAAAACCAATGGAATCAGTTTACAAGGTCAATGTAATCAGTTTA